TTGCTACATGTTGTCACTGGGGCACAGCCAGCAGGCCGGCAGCGAGCCATATGGAAGCCTTTGAGTTGCTGAGTGTTGACACCACCAATCAATGGCAACTAATGGCTTCTCATTGGCTTCTTCAAAGATTAGAAGGTACTTCCCGAGATGGAGAGAAGAGGACCAGCTGTCTTAACATCCAGTGGTCAGAGCAACAACTCCAACCTCTTAAATCCAGAAAGAGGTCCGCCAATATGCAATAATACATCTTGAATGGAGTAAATAAACACACGAGCCTTGGTAGGAAGGCACAGAACATCATGAGCGTGTGCCTGTGTTTGTGTTTTGATATGCATATGCAGGCATATTTCTGCTCTCTCTGAGATTAGACAGATGGCTTTGAATATTAACACGTTTGCCACACTCTCTAGCTGGATGTACTGTAGAAAACCAGGCCTGCAACATGCATGATGCAATGGACACACACAAGATGTTGCCACTCCACTGACTTCTAGCGCACCAGAAAAGTGTTTTACTGTACATCAAGAATTCACGCACTTCTGTGCTTCAATTAGTCAAACTGGAGCACAGAGATAATGTACACATACTGCTGCAGTCAACTCAACTTATTCTTCTCAGTGAACTCTCTCCTCACGTGTCAAGAAATGTCCAAATCCATTTATTAAGATGTCAAATCTTTCATAATAATATTCAAACTTTTTTTGCAGTAAAAAGTAATTCACTCGTAAAGAAACTCTAGAATGTTTAAATGGCAAGAATAAAATCAATCCAACCTCACATATTGGATGAAGTGCCTCATTCTTCATGGCACCACAAAGTGACTGTACACAAAACAAAAGGTTCAAGATAGATGTTTAAATCCTCTGGTTCTTCCTCAAACAGTCAGCTGACATGTACATAATTTCATATTCAATCATTTAGCTAGACATTAAAACATTTATAAGAATATATCATGGTTAATGGCACCTTAGAGTCACAGCCAGACACAATCATCTGTTTTCAAAATTCAAGAGGAGAAAATCATGTGCTCTGTAAAACATCTATTAGCGTATCAGTGACAACACATCAGACTGCTGGGCTTTGTTTATAAGCAAATAAAATGACAAGAAAAAAAGATGTCATTACTCCACACTGCTGTGTAATGTAATGTTATCCTAAGGCAGTTTAAGTTGCTGGTGAGAGTGAAGTCATGTCAAATATCACCATACTGTACAGCGGCATTCAGGCTAATCCATCTTCAATTGAGGTTTGAGCTGTCTTAAGGGAGCAACTTCCAAACATGGATAATGCCTCCATAGCCAACAGCGGCTCCACCATTTACATAGCTGATCTACAGTCAGCTTTTCACAGCCCTCACTCATATGGTGTGGGACTGTCGTGGACTGAAGTGGAGTTCTGGGTAAACCTCTTTACCATGCAGATCAAACACAGGCAGACAGACTGGAGGGCTTGTGGCTACATCGCTCTTAGCGTGTTTAGTGGATTCAGTCTGCTGTGGCGCCGACCCAAAGACAACTGCACAGAGCATAAAGCAAATCCTTCAATCTGCCAACCACTGCTCCCAAGCCTCTTAATCAAATAAGGCCATTAGCTCCATCACAAGTAGTTTGGGCCTCCAATATTCGTAGGCTGGGCCCTTTACTCTGCCAAGTGCAGCAATCAGCATAGTAGCAGCACCCCGAGACCCTCTGAAATGGCTTTTTCAGAGGGTCTGAGTTCACAATAAAATTTATATGTCAAACTGAGATTATGTTTTCCAGGCCTGTGTTAATTTCCAAATGTAACAAACTTTTTTTTTGCTGTATGCAAAACTTTAAGCACCAAAAATGGAAACCCTGTCAAGCTTCCATTTCCTAAAAGCATGACATGTTTACACATTTCAAATTGGTTTTAGTGTTGCTGGGATGCTACAAAGGTCATCTTTTAATTTGCTTCAAATAAGTAATTCATCACTGTGGACATAGTCCTTTTTTCTGCAAGCATAGACTTTCTCCCAGTATAAATTTTTTATGTAAAACAAATCTTCAAATTTATATTGCCATTGCCCATGTTTGCCTAGTATTTATGTTCCGTTTTATTTTCCAACACATCATCTCATGATTCCTTTCACCGTCTGCCTTTGAACTGTTGATTACACATCATTACATTCATTTAGCAGATGCTTTTATCAAATAAGTGCATTCACCATTCATTGGAACACAAGCTAAAACATCAGGATGAAGCTTCACTGATCACGCCATAATAAAGCTGTGACCATCACCATTATATTGTCACTTTGATAAGTAGCTACATTTTTATTTTGGGACTCATGCCGAATGATACAAATAAGGGAAAGGAAGGTAGATAATCTATGTAAACTCTGTGGTATGCTGTCCTCTGGAAAACAGACAGCAGTAATGTATAGCATTATTAATAGACTAAATCCAGAAATGTGCTTTAATGCAGGTGTTTAAATTGCAGAATCTTGCACTGAACACTCACCAACATAACCACTAGTAACATTTTCCTGCAGATCTCAGTCTTGAGAATTCACCAATACTCGTGCCTTGTGCCTTAATGACCACTCATGCCATGATAAAGGCTCAGGCCACAGTTCACAACTGACCAGAGTGCTTGCTCAGAACATTTCTTATTCCCCTAATAGCCAGTCATTATGTCATACACTCAGTGTGTTAATATCAGCTCATTACAAATCTCAGTCTGTGGCCCACAGCCAGAATAAATACCCTCCTAAAGAGAACAATTAATTTGAAATGCTAGCACAATACCACCATACTGCTTTTAACATCCGGAGCAAATGCATGCAAAGTCAGTCACATGAGCCCAGGCTCAGCGGGAGCGGGTTAAAGTATAGTCTTACCCTCACAGTAAGTAGAATCCCCGTGGATGGAGGCATAGCCACTCTTGCATTCACACACTGCTTTAGTATTCTGGTTTTTACACTCAGAGTTTTCCCCACAAATTAGTCCCTCTGCGCAGAAGTCGTAGCCTGAAAGAAAGGGACAAAGGAAGCCTTGATTTACATCGGTCTTAAAAATTTGCTCACTCCAGGCAGTGAAACGTTGGTACACACACACAAACATACACAATTGTACACAAAGATAAAAATCTGAGAAATGCACAAACAGGCAACCTCATTCCTGTTGAAACAATACTTTGGAAGACAAGAAGCCTGATGTATAAAGTTTATGACTGCAGTAGATTAGCAAAATAATAAAAGTCTCGTTTTCCACATGTGATGGCAGCATCTACAGCCAGACAATGAACACGATGTTTCTCACACACACACGTCATTATCACAGCTAGTTTCATCTGTAGACAGTGAGGTTAAATAAAACACAATCATTTTGCTTATTTTAAAATTTTGTTTATTAGTAGTTTGGACACAGCACTGTTTGCTAGATGGACTGCACACATTTGGTTAACATTGTTTGTCTATATGTGTTATAATTTATCTTTTTGAGTTACCCGAGTTCCTGCTTCCTGGTTTGGCAAAATGTGCGTCTGAAGGTGGAGCCTGGTTTAAATGCAGAGGCCCAGGCCAAGGACCAGACCAAGAGCTCTGACAGCAAGAGGGGAGAGGTGTCTTTAGATTAGAATATTTTGCCATAGGCTACTGTGTAGTATGAGTTAGTTTATGTAAAACAATAAAGCTAACTGTCCTGTGCTGTTGTAATTATAGCTTACTTATTCATTTTTCTGGTTATCTCTCTTATTTCAAAATGGCCTGATCAGCCAGTGTGTGTGTGTGTGTGTATCAGTTTGGTTTGTGCAGTTATCTTGTCTGTTATGTACTGCCTGAGTCTAGTTCTGTTTAGATGACCTATTTTACGGGCCCAGATCTTTATTGTATATTTTGTAAACCAGTATTTTCTTCATTTTAGGTAATTAACACCCCCTGCACTTTACCCATGGGTCTTTTTGCCTGGCAGCTTGGTCTTTCACACCATAAAAGCATGTATGAACACAGACGGATGTAGGATGATTTCATGGGATGTCATCCATCGAGAGGTGTAGCAGCACTGTAGCATGACACTTTTTTTTCTGGTATTCTGGTGAATGTTTTAGTAAAATGTGTTGATGTGCTCATTTTAAAAGGGCCACCATAGAAACAGTCAAATAAATGCTCAAATACCAAAAGAACCAAATGTGAAAAATGACTGCAACGCTCCCTCACTAGAAGACTCTTCGTACATACTTCAACACAGGACCTCCATCATGATATTTTATAGAACTGGTGACAGCATTTCCTTTGTACACACCACAAATGGCTGACTATCATTTATCCGATGAAGACCATGTACATAAGAGTACATCTCTGTTCCCTTAATTGCGTTCCCATTTCTTAGCTCTCCCACTGAAGACGTGAGGAGAGATGCAAGGAAAAGACTCGAGGAGAGTGGAAACAAGGAAATGTGTTTTGAGAAATCTTTCCTCCTTTCCCATGAAGCATCATCTGAAACAAAGTCTGCTTCCGATGACAGCAGCTCAGCTGGATCAGCTGTCCGTAGGCTCTGTTCTGTAAACACCAGCGCAGTTATTAAAAAGTCTGCATTTTGTGCCAAGACCAGAGTAAATGTGCTTCACTGCTCGGAGGCTGTACACACAAACCATTTGTAATGGCAGCAGAGCATTCTTTTGGATAATTATTTGCATCTGCATTTATTGTCATGCTGTTTGATTGATGACTATAATTTTATAAGGTTTTGTAGAAACTATAAAATATATTAGCACAGATGTGTTAGATAAAGTTTAAATTATGTAAATATATCACATCAAGTTATATTTCTACCCTATGCACAGGGATTTATAGTCCCATATGTGAATGAATGGAAATGATCATTTCAAGTGAAGATTTATTGCTGAAAGACCACAGGCTCTCCTCCTCTCCTTACCCCTAATATTTGTCATGAAACAGATTCTAAGAGGCAAATAATAGTATTCTAATGTAAAAAGAAAGTTGTTCATTAGTGTTTTATCAAACCTACAGTTAACACAGATCCATTACTTTTAGGTAGATTGTCAATCAGGAAAAAACAGACAAATAAGTTCTGTTATTTGTCTACTCTATATTGATATGAAACTGCACTGGTGTGGTGATGTATAATTATATCGGTTTTCTAGTGAATCCTCACTCCTCGCTCAGGGAACCATGGATGCAACTAAAAGAACTGGGATTTACCCAAGGTTTTGGAACAACCTTCTAGATGGAAAATTGGAACAACTTCTGGGTCAAGCAAGAACTGAGGAGCAAGGAAGCTGCCTGGAGGAGCCCTGAGCACTAGATCATCCATTGCAGAAGTCTTTTATGGACAGACATGTGCCTTTATCAGGACAGACGTCTCATTTCCCTAAAAACGTTTCCTCAGTTCTTCTCTGCCCAAATGTCTTCCTCACATCTTATGTGTGAAGGACTAAGATGCAAGGAAAAGACAAGCAAGGAAAATTTGGATGCAATTAGAGAAACTGAACCTAAAAATATCTTAGAAGAGCACCCACCAAAAGAGCAGTTATTTATCACCTAAAAGGGGAAGTGAATGGTTAAATAAGATGTTTGAGTATCACCTGTAAACACTGCCCTAATGTATTTCAGAAGGAAGAATTTTTAGATTTAAAAACAAGCGATAAACATATTTAATAAACAATTTATCAATTGCAAGTGTTTCTATAGTAGATACACCAAAGGATGCTTCAGAAACAGACAGTGAATATAAATATGCTATTAGAAAAAAAATATGGAACATCCTATGCCACAAAATTTTGCTGATCACTCATGCAGTAATGGTCTCGTGAGGGTAAAAGGAATAGAAGATAATGAAGACCGACCAGAAGGGGTGATCATCTAAAAAAACAAAACTGGATGTTTAAATTTGATGCTCTAATGTATCCTGGTTTAAAAGAAGAAATAGATTACAAACACTGTTTACAAAAATCATGCATTGTCCCTCACTGAGGAGGTCATGCTATTGTGACTGATGTTATTTTAAACTTTGGCTGTTCAAATAAACACTGGCTGGTTTTGTAACCAACAAAAGACTTCAGAAAACAGTGTGAATATCAACATTAAATCAAAACTGCACTTTCTAACAAAATGCTTTTTATTTCCTTAACAAATTTGCACTATATAAAGGTTAGCTGTAGGATACAGGGCTGTGATGAACGCTGGTGATGTAGATACTGTTGCAGCAGTGGTTTGACATGATTTTAGTTTTGACACTTTGTTGTTACAAATACAACCGTTATCCCCCAAAACTCAGCAAGCTACAAACCTTTCATAGCCATCATTCAAGGTTATAGCAGGTTGAGTGTTTCATTGCATGGAAATCAACAGTGGATGAGTCACTACTGCCGTGAAAAGGTCAGGATCCCTCACTGACTTCTCCACATGTGAACATAGTCAATTGCTTTTAATGAAGACATGCTCAGGGAGTCAAACCTTGAATCTCAGTGGTGTTGGACAGGAGCTTTACTCCCTGCAACACCTGTGTGCCACAGTACCAGTCCGTTTCAAATCTGAACCAAACCAGACTCGGACATTAACGAAAATAGATGGTCTGAGAATCGGTCTGACAGATAAGGAGCCAGACAGACACACATGGAGATGATTGTCTCCTTCTCAGTAGATATAAGCTGATGTAGTCCATCGTGTCCTGTAACGAGTGACAGACTGGCTGCACATAAAAGCCATAAGAAGCAGGGAGCCATTACTGGGGAAAAAGATGTGTGTGCATTATTCTTCCTCTCACCCCATCCACCACCTACAGCTGTTCATGTGACATGTTAAAAGTCTGATTACACTAGGAACAACACACAGTGTGCCCTTGTGTTTTCTGATGGTAAAGTATGGTGCTGCCTCAATCACTGACCTCACAGAAAGGCAAAAATACATTGCAGTTGTGTTTGTGGTTTGTCAGTGTGATTTTTTTTTTTTATTTACAACACACAGACATCAGCCCCTCGTGGTACAATACTTTTTTGTTATTTCAGGAAAACAGGGGGGTAAAAACACTCTGTGACAATAGTGTAATTACCAATTTAACTGAACCAGCATGACTCCAGGACTTAACAGCAAGGCTCAAGTAAATTTCAGAGTGGTGGCGAAGTACTGAGTCACACAGCAGAGAAGAGGTCTGTGGCTGATTTCGAAATAATGAGTAGCTCTCAGTTTTAGCAACTGTGGGTGTGTGTGTGTGCGAAAGAGAGAGAGAGAGAGACAAAGAAGGAGGGCTGTGGGGAAGAAGCACTGTGACTCTAATCTTGAACTGTTTATTATAGTTTAAACTCTCCTCTTGCCTACACTTATGTCCTCTCTCTGCTGCCTACTCCATTACACTCTGCCTTTCCACTCCTCCTCTTATCTTCTACTCTTTTTTCCTTACCTTTCCTAATCCCTCTTCTTCTCTTCACCATTCTCTCAACGTAAAGTCTTAGTGTTATCTTTTCTCTATTTCTTCCTGCCCTTTCATATGCTTTACACTGTGTACCTTCCTCTTCTTCCTTCCCTTTTGCATCAGCGTGCTGTAGGTCTATGACTGGATTCACACAGGTATTTGCCCTGGGATTAAGCGACACAAGGAGGTAGTGGGGGTGTACTGCTGGTGAGATAATGAAACATGAACTGGGAAGTCCAGTTGGAGGACCAGATTTATGCTTATTAGATGTCAAAACACAGCATGGTGATTCCTAATACTCACACACAGGATTTTACAACTCAGCAAAGTTATCATGATTTTGTCTTTGGTTGTGACAATCTTGAGGTAAACAGCATGAACAGGGTGTTAGCTGTATGTCATCAAAGTAATCCAGCAGGA